CAAAATGAAGCACAGGTGGATGTGCTTCTTGAAGAACAATAATATTGCTAATAACTGAATCAAGAACACAACATTCATCCTTTTTCTCAAATTCACTCATTCAAGGAGACCACCTGGTTTACTATCCTGCTGGAAATCCATTAACCTTTTGATTGAAAGCTATTAAAAACAAAACAAAACCCAAACCCAAATATTTTGAAGGTTGATAATTATTATGATTCCTTTAAAAAGAAACAAAACCCCCACAACTTCTCACTTGATAAATGAAAAGATTATTTATTCCACTTAGAGGCACCAAATGAGAATATGCTAATCATCATTTGTACAGCCATGTGACTGATCCAATAAGTGAGGACTCTGGTAGCAAACACGACTTTGCAAAGAAAAATCATCAGTGGCTCTAACATCCCACTCCTACCCCCAATTTTCTTCTTTAATTTTGCCTGATATTGTTATTACTGGTGTTTGAAAACGTTGTCCATTTGCACTGGCCAAACTAAATCGGAGACAAGGTTCTCCTGGTTCAGAATCCTCTTCCACAGTTGTGGTAATCAGATCTTTAGGGCAAAATGTGCATCTCTCTCATAGATAAATGCAGAATAAACATCTCTCTTGTGGTTTCTTATATTTAAAAGCTTATGTAAGTCCTGAAGGACAGGACTTAATAAGCCTATAAAATATTAATATTATTAATAGCTATAATTATTTATGATAAATCTGGACTTTATTGGCATCCAAGCCCCTTCTGATTCTTTTCCATCTTTCTGTTGTTGAAGGCTGAAGTTTTACTTCAGCTCCGACACAGCTGGAGGACTGTGAAATCAGAAATGCCCTACTGGACACTTTCTCCCAAAATGAAACTGCAGGAAGAGTGGTGATGGAAACAGCTTAACTAATAGAATGCAATTGCTGCTACATTTTTGTGGGAGCCTGGTGGTGTTTGCATGTATCATGAGCTGTAGTGGAGCAGGTCCTTTGGATACCTCCATTGCCATGAGCTCTGGTGAGTGGTGTGGTCCCACTTGCTGAACTGTCAGAGCTCAACACCTGCGGGTCAGGGTGGCAAACACTTGGGTCTGATGCCTCCATTTGAAGTGGCAGTTGTAGCCAGAATTTCTGCATTACTGAGCTCAGCATTATGATATTTTAGTGTTATTACATACAATCAAATCTTTTGCTACCTAGAATCCTTAGTCCATGAGTAGAAACAAATTTATCTAAACATAAAAGGCTAAAAGAACCCAGTAACTGAAATATTTTTAGTTCCTGTGATTTTTTGTCATTTGCAGCTGCAAACAGCTTTCTATTTCCTCTTATATGCTTTCAACAGAAGCATGTTTACATGAACTATGACAACAATATGATCAGAATTTTGTAATAGTTGGGCTCGATAGTTTCAGAGATATTGAATCCTTTAAATGAGAAAGCAATTTACACAATTCACTTGTCTCTGCTTGACAATGATCTACAAGCAACTAATTGACACTAAAATGTGGGAAATATATGACATTTAGAAATAATAACAGGAAAAAAAAGACAAATGAATGTTTGAAATTCAAGGGATTCAATTCCTTCAATTCCAGGATGAATTCAGTAAAGTTTAAAATTATGGATGTGTGATGGAAGAAGATTGTCTCCACAACACATTGCAGTCCTCTTCACAGGAGCCCAGGGTACAGAAGAATAGGAAGAACAAGGTTTTCCACTTCCATGGGTGATGAGCTGGGAGTCTCTCCTCTTCCCTTGCTTTGCCTGCTCAGCAGGATTGACTTCACCTCTGTCAGTGCCTTTCTTCGGGTCACGAGCAGTGCTGGGGTAAGACGGTGCCACCCTTTGGACACCTTGTAACTCTTGGCCTTCTGGAGTCCCATCTTCATTTGCAGTTGCTTTTCTTCCTGGGAGAAAACATGGCAGAAAGATGTGTCCTCAGCACTCCTGCCTTCTGCCAAGTGTTTACTGTTCTTTGATGAGAAGCACCAGGTGAGACCTTCATCTCAGAATAGCAAGTCCTGGGGCTAATTTAATAAAATAGGGTGATCTTCAATCTCCATCATCTATTGTTTCAGGCTATCTGTTGATGTAGGAAAATACTAGTGAAATTTTTATTTGTAGCCATGAGGGAAAGTTTAAAGGAAAGCTGGGATCTTGATACAATCATATGCTTTCACTGGGTTGGAGCCCTAGGCTCAGAATTATATCATGGTCCCAAGCACAAACAAAATTAAAGGGAAATATTTTAGTACTTTTCCTCGATGACAATATTTCTCCCATGCACACTGAACGTTGTTAAAGAGTTTCTAGCCACTGTATTATAGGCAAAAGAACAAGCGACTTGCTTATATTAAAGGATGTAAAATATTTTTATGTAGACGTCTCCTGCTAAATTCTCAATATATTTTGTTGTCGGAGTTCTCTCATGTTTTTTAAACCTTTTAAATGCATTCCTAGGTGTGACAATGTGTCATTATGCTTTCTGAGATGTGTGCTCTTACACAGTCTGCAGGATGACTGCTAAAAAGCATTTCCATTTCCAACAGCAGGCACTCTTGAAAGCAGATTAATAAAGGACAAAAGCCTCAGTGATGACAAATGTATGACAGTTAGCCAGGACCTGAGTGCTATGCAGATGTCACTCATTTTGGTAGAAATCTCATTAAATTTTATGCTTGGATGTAATCATTCATGGTGTCAGCTGGATGGCTAATGCAGAAAAGCTTTTCTCCCAAGGGCTGTGTTATTGTTCAGGATGTCTAAAACAATTTTTTAGATGGGAATAGCCAATTGAGGAAAAAATGCACGGTCTGCTCAAATGCTTCTCTGGAAACTACACAGAAAATAACTGGTCATAAATGCACTACAGTGCAGTCGACCTTCATAAAGAAGACATTTGGGCCTGCGATAGACTCTTATGCAGCAATAGGAGCACTGGAAACCCAGCATCAAGGATATTAGTCAGTTATCTTCTTTCGGAGCAATTCCATAGATTGATACTTCAGTTCAGGACATGCGTGGCTGCATTTTGGCAAACTTGTTTTATGTGTCTTTTTATTGTTGGAATGATCATCCTGAGAGGTCCTTTCGATTACTTGCCACGGTGCAATGTTAATGTGAGAGTTCTTGAAAGACTATTACCAGTAATAGCTGTAGTCATTCAGTGAGGCAGTGCCCTTTCCTATGAATCCCAGAATGCGCACTGATTTACTCCACTGCTGCTTGACCAGGGTAATTCTTGCTTTTACTGAACAGCTAAGAAGCCTGACATGTAGCAGTTCATGAACACAGATTTCTTGACCTGAAGATTTTGCCTCCTGAATTACAAGGTGTACTGGTTTGTCATCAAGAAGAAGAAAGGTCAAGAAAAAGATGAAAAGAAAGAGGCAGCAACTACAGAATAATGGAAAAGGTGCTTGATAAAACAGGAGCTTGACTGTTGTAGCATAAATCATTCTTGCTGCGCACACCTATGGCAGATGACGTGTTTGCATATGGTGGGGAACAAGAGGATGGAGACACAGTTCATTGTATAGTAAATGCGATAGGCACTATGGCTTTGGTGGATACATCTGTATCCCCAGTCCCTCCACGTGTGGGGTACCCAAGTGGTTTCTGTAAGGTAGCTACATAAGGGCCCTGGGCAGATGGAGAGGTTATACCCCAACTAGCGACAAGATAGACAGGGAGGTTAGACTCAGGGTTGGAAGGTAAGAAAGAGAAAACATTGGTGTTCTAGTCTTGACTCATTCCAGGGATGAAGGTCAGCAAAAATCCTTGGTGTCCTGCCTTGAGAAGACCTTTGGTGGTACATATATCATGTCATGCTCCTTTGCCCTGATGACTTCTCTGCCTTGTACAAACCTAAAAATAGGGGATTTGGGCAAGGCAGCCTTGAGAGCTGCTGCGTGTTGTGAGCTCAGATGCCACACTACAGTCCAGAACCTCTGAACTGCATCTTTGTGTAGTGTCAGTTGTGACTTGACACAAAATCACAGAATGACAGAATCATTAAAGTTGGAAAAGACCTTTAAGATCATCAAGTCCAACCATCAACTCAACACCACCAAGCCCACTAAATGATGTCCTGAAGTGCCACATCTACACGTTTTTTGAACACTTCCAGCGACGGTGATTCCACCACCTCCTTGGCCAGCCTGTTCCAATGTTTGACCACTCTCTCAGTGAAGAAATTTTTCCTAATATCCAGTCTAAACCTCCCCTGGTGCGACTTGAGGCCGTTTCCTCTAGTTACTTGGGAGAAGAGACCCACATCGCCACAACCCCCTTTTAGGCAGTTGTAGAGAGCAATGAGGTCTCCTCTCAGCCTCCTCTTCTCCAGACTAAACAACCCCAGTTCCCTCAGCCGCTCCTCATAAGACTTGTGCTCCAGACCCCTCACCAGCTTCGTTGCCCTTCTCTGGACACGCTCCAGCACCTCAACATCCTTCTTGTAGTGAGGGGCCCAAAACTGAACACAGGATTCAAGGTGCGGCCTCACCAGTGCCGAGTACAGGGGCACAATCACTTCCCTACTCCTGCTGGCCACACTATCACTGCTACAGACCAGGATGCTGTTGG